CGGCAGTGTCTCAGTCCACGAGTCGCAACACACATCCTCTCATCATGTACAAGCTGGTGAGTGTTGCTGCTGAAAGGGAAGTCGGTCCGCTGAGACAGAGTGCCTTCGCTGAGACGATGATCAGATGATGCAAGGGCCATTTCGAGGGGAAAGGGTGGAAAGGTAGTCAAAAACCGTGCGTAATGATCAAGCGGAGATTTCGAGTATGGAGCCTAACGCTCAACTCAATGGGTGTGCTGTAAGAACGTTCATGTGGGCGATGCTGCTACTAGATGATCTTGTCGACAATTGGGATAGAGTACCTAGAGAATTCATCAAGTTCGCAAAGGCTGTAGGTATTCAATGTATTTCGTTGTTACCTGCAATACGACTAAATTGAAATATTTAAGCATTTAAAAGACATTTTATTATAAACTATTTTCATCACAAAAAAGACTGGCTGCATAAAACTGAATGATTTAAATATTAACGAAGAGTCTTTCGAATATTCTTACAGAAATAATTTATAAGAAAATCAAAATGATGGCTTTGTCCACCAGGTTTAAAGTTACCATTAAAAGTGCAAATATGCTAAGAGTTTGGGATAAGATCAAATGTGAATGGGGATAGAAAAGTGCAAAAGAACGATGCTGCATTGAAAGGAAGGTTCATTGGATTCCATTGTAGGCTCTTCGTAGCAAGCGCCTGAGAAATATATCATTTAATCATCTATGCTCAACAAATCTCGAGCTTTGGAAGTTCTATGTTTCGACAATTCGGAAACCTTTATTGATTTCTTATCACTTAGTGCAATGAACTTACGACAGCAAACTGGCTTAGCGCTGGGCAATGTGCCGAATGAACTATCATAGTCCAGCACCTACTTGTATAAAATACTAAGTACTGCCAAATGAACCTGAAATTTGACCAATCATTCGTTGTCCGTACAGATTATTGCTGTCCTGGCCGTTCTGGCTATCATCGCTACTGCCTCCGCGCAGTACCTGGGCTACGGCGGCCTCCGCAGCGGCTACGGCGGCTACTACGGCGGCTATGCTGCCCCCTACGCCTACGGTCGCGGCCTCTACGGCGGCGGCCTCTACGGAGGCTACGGCCGCGGCCTCTACGGCTACTACGGTTGATTCGCTTCCCCTTCTCGCAAGGTGGGTAAGAAATTGCAATTTCACTGTTATTAGTGAACAGATTAGCAAGGACTACTAAAATACTAGTTAAAACGTATCTATTTGATCTTAAGAATTTAACTGTGATTTTGAGAGCATCGTGGATGCTTGTGATTGTGTGACACCCTAGCAAACAATTCCAGTACGCTAGTGAAAATAGAAAGAAGAGGAAAAATATCGCCTCATGCGACGATTTTTCTGCCTCTTTCCCCACTAATAAACTAGCTGCTAACAACATTTAAAGTTTGAATCAAAATTAAATTGAGCTTTGCTGTGTGACGACCGTTCAGCAAAGTTTTATCTTTCAATCAATATAATCAATTTTATTGCTTTATTTTCTAGAAATCTTAAACATGCTAGAAAGCGTTCTAATACTTTTATTCCGAATGCTTCATATCGATACTTTAGTTCTTGAATATCCAATATAGGATAAAATCGTTTTGACACTTGCGATTTGCCCGGACTCTTCTATGGGCTCTCTAGGTATTATCATGCACATCATTTCCGGTGACGTGTCTGTGAAAAGTGCCCCTGAACTTTGGGACTGTACCCACATTTTGTTGGACATCTTGAATTCGGGATGAAGATGATATTATTATTATTATTAATAATAATAATAATAATAATAATAATAATAATAATAATAATAATAATAATCACATGTTTTATTATTTGTTTGACACAATTACAATTTGCACTATGATTGTTTCAGATGCTGCATCCCGACCAACATCTGAGGGATCGGCTTGTTCAATGAAAGTTTTTTTAATCTAAAATAAACTTCTGTATATAGTAAAAAATTGTCTTAAAATCTTATTTTACCCAAACATTTTCCTTCCTCTGTGAATCCTGCTCAGTGATATCTGAAAACTCGCAAAAAATATCTAAATACCAACAGCATCTGGATGTTGTAGCTCATTCACACATGATAACAGATTAATCAATTAGAAAAAAATCGAAGTATTTGGGACCTTCAGTCAGTTTATTACACAGAAATATCTGCAACTTATTTCGTTACATTTACTAATAACGTAACGATTAAAAAATACGTGACATTTAATAACACAGCTATTTTATACATGTTATGACTCGTCAAAATAGCTGTTAATTCATACGAATTAAAAAAAAGAACTATTGTCATTCATTTTCCACACAATTCACTAGATGCCTTTAACTAGACTAGAGCCGATAACGCCTTACCACCTGCCTTTCCATTCCATTGGGCTGACTCGCCAACAGCAACCACGCCGGCGGCCCACAGGTAAGCGCTGGGCCAGAGCAAGCAGAGAGGAGCGCCTTCTTGAACAACCCCGTTCTAGAGCAGAGCTGCTCCAATGCAAGACTTCATGACAGACTACCATATTTTCTTACCCAAAAATTTTCTCTTTAACAGAAAGTTTGCTTAAGACTGTTATACTGAAGCTAAGCTTGTTGGTAACTGAATGGTTTAAATGTTTACGAACAGTTGAATTTTGCCTCCCAGAAAGTAGGTAAAAAAAGGCTAAACCAGCGAGAGCTGCTAATCTCTTAAATCAAAATATTGGGTAAAGGCGACCATTAATTTCTACCCGAATGGAAATGCCAGAAATGCCAGTAGTAGATTACTACTTAAACTTATTCATACATAATGAATAAAACATTATGTTGTTCAGAGTAAACATCACACCGAGTATATGTGCGATGAGATATTACAAACATGGTAAGTTATGCTTCATTTTTAGTATATTTATGATTATTTTATTAAATTTATGTATATACATCATAAAGTTCTATGCAATAAATTATATGCCTTTGTTAAAAAACCTATAAAATTCTATAAAATTATATCAATATATATGGTATTTATGGAAAAAGGTATTTTTTCAATGTTCTTAGACCTGAAGAAGGAAATATATTAAATAAATTTTCTGAGCGCACTGCAATAGTTTTCTTTCGTAGTGACAAACAAACCATTATGCTCAAATGAATATCATCAACCCGTGTTCGTGAATTGTGGATATTAACAATAGTTTTTTTTACGTAACAAAGGCACAAATCAAATCGCGAACGTGTTTTTATCACGCAAAACAATTTTTATCACGCCATATGCGAAAGATATTTTGCACACGCTTCGCGATGTTTAGCACGCTATAAGAATGAAAAATATGTTTCGCACACTGAAATCTAGCACAAAAATCCTGTTTTGGGCATGACGTGTTAAAAATAATATATATTTACCTATTTTTATTTGTTTAATATTTAATTATTAAAATTGCCCATCCTTATACTATTTGTCTATCGAAGGCCTTTAAATCCTTACAAAACCTACATATATCCTGAGGCGATCTAACCTTTCGAATTTTGGTATTCACCTCCAGCTTGCCTTTTCATCGGAAAAGAGACCATATCGTATGAATATGGAGCAAAATTCTGAAGGGCGAAATCCTGCCGCCAGAAGACGAGTACAAGCTATTCTACCAAACTCTAAACTATTTCCTGGCGCAGTCGTCGCGTATTCTCCTTCCAGTCTATGACCTCAGCATCTGAAATGAAACAGTGCTTTGAAGATCCTCCACACCCTGGCCTCTGGGCTTATTTCTCGGACACCCACTCTCATTCGCCCACTAATATGCTCATTTAAATATTAGACGGTGTATTTATTTATTTATTTATTTATTTATTTATTTATTTATTTATTTATTTATTTATTTATTTATGTATTTATTTATTTATTTATTTTACATTATTCATTTACTTATTATTTTCTTATTGCTTAATAACTTATTTACGTATAAACGTACGAACTTAATTACTATTTTCCCACTCCTTAATTATCATTTTTCTAATAGTTAGAATATTTCCTAGAAATGATCCTAATTATTTCATAAAGTGAGATTTCATATCAACAAATGTTCTGGACAAGCTTTACATTTCTATGTAGAAAGTGATAATACTATATCACCATCCGTGTTTAGTTAGCACAGCAATTTCAAGGAGTGGATCCAATCTTCAATATCACCTCAAAGCACACAGACGCCATTGCAATTTTAGACTTTCAATCTACGTTACATCCCCCTCCGACCCCAAACCACGTGTAACCCTTTCTTGGTCCTTGAGAGTGTGTGAACGTAACTTCCGCAACCCCAAACCGGGCTACTGTGAATCTGTGGCACGAGGGTACGTTTCTTGTGTCTTTTTACTATCTTCCATCAATTTAAATTAAGGACACAGTAACCAATTACCATGCTTATTGAATATTTGAAAAATGAAATAATTTGCTTTGTTATAACTCATAGTAAGACAAAACAAATTATATGCACAAGTTTGTAAATTTTCTTTCGAAATCTAAAAATTTCTAAATATTGCAGCTATTCTAGTCGACACCTGCTCTTCGTGGTTGTATGTTTCAGTTTTTGCACAAGACGTGGAGAATAAGGGCGCTACACGCAATAAATGATTTTATTTTATTCTGATACGTATTTGCTTGTTATGGCTTTCGATAAGGAGCTCCATATACACTGCATAACGTACCTGGATCGAAAGGATCGTGGTTACGAGAAAATATGAAAACCTCTGAGTTACGTTCCTCTTAAGGAGGGAATTATGCGGGGGATATGAAATGACAAACTGAGTCAAGTTAACAACTAGTTAATTAGTAAATATGTAAATACGAATAATGAAAATTAGGTAAAACAAAATCATGTACAGTTACCACGCACGTGAACTGGTTCTAATGATCTCGAGCAACAAAAATCCCGAGGCCAAAGGCCCTCAAGACACTTTTTCGCCGGTCGATCATTAGAACCCTTATAACTCCCTTGGCGCATAAATAACTATTTCATCACATTTATCATTGCTTCGAGTAGTATTAGAAATAATAAAGATTTGCTGATCTTATCACGACTTCGTCAGGATCATGCACGTACCCTAAGCATCCCTAATACCTTCGTAGAAGCAAGTATATTTTTGCGTAGTTAATTTCCATTATAAAGCTCTTTTAAATATTAAACGTTAAGTATTATTAAAAATATGTTATAAAAAGCAAAAACTGATCTTTCGAATCAGGAAAAACATTTAACATGTCTATGTTAAAGAACACCCATTAAACTAATTAATATTAATATAAACTATTAATAAAAAATATAGTGATATGTTATAAAACTTCTGAAATGTGTAGTAGTAAAGACACATCATTTCGATGAATTTAATAAATTATACATTTAAAATATTTTACTGGCAGCATATTTGTTGAAAGAAAATAGGTTTTTTATTTAAAAATAATTATGTTTCTACCGTAGTCTCACATCAATTCTCTACAAAAATGTGGACATTAGAAGGAGGATATTGTGAGCTATTTTCGTACAGAGAGGTACGGTATTAGAGGAACGTTTTATAAATCTCAGAGCCATTTTTTCGAAACAGTAATCCCCCTCATTATATCAAGACAGGTCTTCCCAACTCAAAGAATTGAATTGAAATTTAGCAGTAAATGAAATGTCCTTATTTTCAAGAAAAGTGACTACCAAAAATTTCATTAATTGCCTACAACCCTGAAAAATGTTAATTGCTGTAAAATAAACTTAAACACATCATATAATGACGATCTATACATCCACATTGTTATCATTTATAATTAAAATTCATCAGAAACTAAGCAAAGAAATTAAAAAAACAAGAAATCCAAATACATTTTCAAACATGACAAAAATAAAAAATAAAAAACAATACAAATACGCGAAGAACTTCGAACTTTAATAGCACCTTTTTTCACGCGCTGTAATTTTGTGCGCCATCAATGCCTCTACAAAAATATGTTTCAATCTTCGTTTAAGAGGTTCAAAAGTCAAGGTCATTATATGTACTCACGCGCGCCGATCTGATCAATGCACGAAAAACCGTGACGAAGAAACAGAAAATTTCAACACGCACTACGAAACACGAAATGCAGGGTATTATGGAAGCTTTAAGACGATCTCGACCTACAACCAGAAACAAATTTTCTTCCTGAAACCTTCAACACACACATCCTATTGCCTGTAAGTGAATCACAATTCCACTTACTCGTCACAACTTCCGTGAACCGTAATTTCGAACGTCACAGGTGAGTTGGTATGCTG